CACACACACAGACTGTTGAGTCCATACACACACAGACTGCTGAGTCCATACACACACAGACTGCTGAGTTCATACACACACACAGACACACGTACAGACTGCTGAGTTCATACACACACACACACACAGACTGCTGAGTCCATATGCACACACTCACAGACTGCTGAGTTCATACACACACACACACACACACACACACGCAGACTGGTGAGTCCATACACACACACGCACAGACTGCTGAGTTCATACACACACAAGCTTCCTCACTAGCAGAGACACACACACAAGCTGTTGATCCAAAAGAAGACAAAAAAAACAACAGTTTGAAGCGCTTTCCAATTTTGCCATAAACTAGGACAAAATTCCTTCTTGAGCCCAGAACGGCAGTTAGATATTTCCTTGGATCAAGAAGCTGTTACCGCACTGATTAAAAATGATATCCTCTAGTCTAGAGGCTGTCTGGTAGCAGCTTTAATAACTGCAATAATACCATTGCAGTGTTAAACTGACAAAAGACTCTGTACCCAGATAACTTCAATGAGCTGAAGTGGTCTGGGTGCCTATAGTGTGCCTTTAAAGTATATGACATTTTTGCTTTTTCTAAATGTATTCAAATTACATCAGGGAGCATGTATTACATGTATTATATCTAGCACCATTTTACATAAAGAGAAATGAAACCATAAAGATGGAAACATATTAGATTGGTTTTTTTTTTTACAGTTGTACATAAAATTGAGATTGAAGAATTGTTGTCATGTGTTCGTTACTGTGTATAAATCTATTTATCCCAAAAATAAAAAGTAATTTTTTTTTTTAGCAAAATATGGAACGCTTCACGAATTTGCGTGTCATCCTTGCGCAGGGGCCATGCTAATCTTCTCTGTATCGTTCCAATTTTAGTATATGTGCTGCCGAAGCGAGCACAAATTCTATAATAAATCAAGTGATATATATAGTTATTATTCGTAGAATCTTTAACAATGCTGTGAAACATTACTATTTTTTTCAGATTGTGTTGTTGTAGATTGATGCTACTATATAAAATAATATACTCTTATATCCAAAATGTCCGCAAAATGGATATCGATTTGTTTTAAACATAATATTTCTCCAGCGATGCATGCTGGGACAAACCATATGCAAATAAAGTAGCGAGCGAGAGAGGCGTTCATTGACTCCCATGCTGCACTGCGGTCACAAGCCCTCGCAAAGAGCGCTAAACACAAGAGCACAGAACAAAAGCGTTGCAACATGCTGCATTTTGCCTCGTGTTTAGATCTCTGTGCTCTAACGGTCAACAACGACAGCAGGGGACAGCCGGAAGCGGAAGAGACACCGGAAGTTGCTTTTTGAGAGGACTCTGTGAACCCCGGAGGATTCAGAAGTACCTTCTCAATATTGACAGGGCGATAGCGAGCCTTGGCTGTCACATTAGGCAGACAGACGTTTTACACTTGGAGCCACCCGGCTTAAGCCCAGGCTCATACAAGGTCATCACATGACTTAAACCCAGGTATATAGCCCAGTGAGATTATGATAAGTTTGCTCTGCTATTAGATAGACACATTAAAGCATAACACAGGCGTAAATTAATTAAATGCAATCCTTGCATCATGTGTTTTTTGCCTAATTATTTTTATTTAAATAATGATAATGCACTCCTAATAGTCTAAGGTTATATGCTTGCTTCTGTGTTAAGGAAATGTCTGTGCATATGTTATCAGATATGTTTGCATGACATTTGCAACATATGTGAGGGGAGCCTTAAATTTTTATTTTTCTTGTTGTGGACCTATCTTTTTTTTTTTTTGTCTACTAAGGATCCCTCAGGATGTCTGAAAACCAGGGGAACGTCCCTCTAAATAACACAAATGGAAACCGAGTACGGACCCCCAACTTAAACCAGAACCCTCTAATCAATGTACGTGATCGTCTCTTCCATGCATTGTTCTTCAAGATGGCGGTCACTTATGCAAGACTCTTCCCACCGTCCTTCCGTAGAATTTTTGAGTTCTTTGTGCTGCTCAAGGTAACAGTGATATTGTTGGATATTGCGGAGATTTCAAATTCACTTAACTGTGTTTGTTTGGGGTCATCCAACCTGCTTCTAGTTACTTCTGCCAGTTATAGATTTTTGATCCTCTTTATGTTTCTCATTTGCTTTTTAAATTCCTTATAATTATGGTTTGTATCTGGGATCAGAATTTCAGGTCATTTACCAGTGACCCTGCCTAAAAGTTAGTCAACCTACCCATGCCTTCTCTGTCTATGTTACATGCTCATTGCAGAGTGGTTTGTGCAGCTTGCTTTGGACTCCATATTTATAGTGTTTATCAGTAATGCTAATTGCATGGCAGCAAATGTTAGGAATCGGGAAAACCTAAATGGACGGAACTTTAGCTATACATGTGCATGTATTTTGGCTTGTACAATGCACAGTTATTATAATTATGTATTACATAATTTAATTGTGTATAGAGGACCATTATATGATTTTGTTTTTATTATTTCACTTGTCTTAAAATGTTCCTGCACCTATGTATACACGAGGATAGAAAAACTTGATGATCTCTCACCTATATCTGCAGCCTATCTGGGAGCTCTGTGAACCCCGGAGGAGGTCTGGTCATGGACCGCCAGACTTCAAAAATCGCCGGAGGAGGCCTGGTGATGGACCGCCAGACTTCAAAAATCTTGGCAGAGCTTAAAACTGCTGGTGGCAAAATTTTATAATAAAACTAAAGTCCTGAAAATTCAATATTTTGGTCCCCTTGCTCGATATTACTTATTTATTTTGTAGCAGCTGCATGCACTCCAGAAAGAGAGAGAAAGTGGGGAAACAAGCTTCTCACCAGGCACTTTCACAGTTGAATATGTAATAGAAAGGGCGAGGGCTCTAGTTTTTTTTTTTTTAGCTGCTTGCCAGTTCTGAATGGATTGTGCAGCTTGATTTCCTGGTTTAACCTCACACTTGATGGCTTCAGATCTTTTATGGGTGGCCATGGGTGCAAAAAGCTGCTGCTTTCTAACACCAGGGAATGCTTTGAGGAGTTAATGACAAAGCCCCAAGGTTTAATATTCTTTCTCCTTTGGCTATTGGGAAAGTGGATTTTTTTTTAGCTGTTGTTTTGATATTAAAGGGACACTATAGACACCAATACAACTTTAGCTTAATTAAATATTTTTAGTGTATTTGTCATGCCCCTGCAATCTCATTGCTCAATCCTTAGCCATTTAGGAGTTAAATCACTTTGTTTATACAGCCCTAGTCACACCTCCAATGGCTACAACTGACAGAGCCTGCATGAAAAAATTGTTTATTTCCAATCTGATGTAAACTTAGAAGACTTTTATTCCCTGCTTTGTAAATTGAATTTTAATCACATGCAGGATAGGAAATTCTAAATTAAAATGAATGTGTAATAAAGGAAATTTAAACATTAGACCTCTTTACAGGAAGTTTAATTTATTTTTATTTTTCGCAAAGCTATGCATGTTATTTGCAGGGAGGCATGACAAGGGTTGCATAAACAAAATGATTTAACTCCTAAATGGCAGGGAATTGAACAGTCAGACTGCAGCAGAATGATCTATACAGCAAAACTACAAAAACTAAAGTTGTTTTAGTGCCTGTAGTGTCCCTTTTAAGATCTGTACTTTTCACCCAGTATGTTAATCATTTTTAATTAGAATTTAGTGTTTCTCTTCTTTACCTGTTGTACCTTGCGAAATATGTTGGAGATATATAATATATAGTCTGTGTATATCTAGAAGTGTGGGTTGATTCCTTCCAGTTGGGTCTGTGCAAGTCAAGGACAGAAGCTGCCGTGGGCTGCTATACTTCAGTGCAGATTCATGTGCATGGGTCCTGCAATGTGTATATTGAGGATTGTCCCTCACCACTTGCAATCTCTGCTCAGTTTGAAATAAATATCTATCTATCTATCTATCTATATATATATCAAAAAGTTAGATGCTTGGCACTCTCCTTAACAAATAGAATAAAGGTAACTAGCCTGGGTGCAAAATCCTATGCGTCAAAAATATGTAAAGAAAAGAATTAGGACGCACTCACAGGACTTAATAAAAGTGAAAAAATGTCTATTTTAATAATCCATGTGAAAAGTACAAGTGAAGTAATCAACGTTTCGACCCTGTCGGGTCTTTTTCAAGATCAACATAAATATATATATATTATATAAAAACTTTGGATCTCCTGCGTACTTGATAATGCATAGCCATAATGATCTGCGTGGGAATGTGTTCTCTTTGCATGCCCTTGTTGCTACTTTAGACTCCAATCATTCAGATAAATTGTTACCTCATTCTATCCTCCTGGCTCTGTGTGCATGTGTATGGTTTTTATAAATCTGTGTGTGCTGATGAGGTATGTGAGAGTGTGGCTAATTTTGCATTTGTCGCCACCTAAATTTTTGCTTGGCTTGTAAACTCTAGGGACATTTGGCAAACCTGACTCTAAACTGCTGGTGCATCATTTCTTTTGTCTTAGAGACAAATGTGTGCATTTATAGGAGTCTCTTGAATTGCACATTACCTCCTTCTAGCACTTACTTATGCATTTGTTGGTATGACATTTTATTTTATAGAAACATAATGGCTAGCCGTGATGCCTCTTTTCAATTCGGACAAGGGGTACTGTTTTAGAAAGCCATTGACTGTCAATTTATTATAAGTGATTCTGTAACTTAACTATTTCAAAGGGGCACTGTAGCAACTTCATCTCATTGCAGTGGTTGCAATGGCTAACACTGAGTGTAATCTCTGCCTCCAGTCGTACTTCCAGTGAGAACCATAATGTGACAGCTTTGGACCCTCATTCAATGTTAAATTTGTTTGGAAGAACACTGAATGCAGCCATTGGACTTCCGGGCACTATAGCCGCTGAAATGTTTATCATGACGTGTCCCTTTAAGAGATCTTAGCTACCCTGTGGGTAAACAACCTTTTTTAGTAGTCCTGTGCAAAAACAAGATCTTGAAGCCCCTTTGCGTCCCAGTCCTATATATTTTTTTTTCTTTCATTTAAGATGTGTATGCTGCCATTTTCTGATTGTGTTATTTATGGGTGCTGCAGTTGCTTTGTAGCATTGTATCTGTGCATATGTAGGCTGTTGTATATGTTCACAAGTAATTTGTGGTATTGTGTATGGGGGCTGCTAGTGGAATTGTCAGTGGTTTTGTTTTTGTGAAGACTGTGCATCTGTTTGTATTATTTGTATGACAGGGAGGCTTCTGCACTTCTGTGTATATGTATTAGTGTGGGGGCTTCCCTCCTGTGAGAACCGTGCAGGTCAAGGACAGGAGCTGCCGTGGTCTGCTATACTCCAGTGCAGATTCCTGTTCACGGGTCCTGCAATGTGTATATTGAGGATTGTCCCTCACCACTTGCAATCTCCGCTCAGTTTGAACTAGCAGATATTTGTAGTACCACAGGGACTCCTGATAGGCCTCGAGTACCATGCATGGCACACGTGCCATAGGTTGTTGACCCCTGATTCAAGGTAAACCAATCCCTTTGTACTCTAAATATTTCATGGCTAACTTTCCTTTCTAACACCTGAACATATTCTTTGATATACTGTTGGGCAATGTTTTAATGCAAAGTCATTCATCTATGAGTATCACTGCTGCTAATCTGTATTGATAATTTGTTAGTGTGGCACTGAATGTTCCTGTTGGATAGGCCACAACCTGTGGGCAGTAGCCACTAACACGATTTGTATTGTATTACATAACCTGGTTAGATCAAACTGTATATGCAGCAACGAGGACTAGTTTTATTAATGTACTGGGAGATCTGCCAGTAATAGTTTGCTTATGAGCAATTGACCTTTTCAAATGGACTTTGTATCCTATATCCCACAGTACACTATCTACAAAGAAATAACATTTGTGTTTTGCTGTCCCTGCAAAGGCTGTATTCTTTTCTTTTCATGTGTGCTATTAAAGGGTTGTACACATGTCTGTTTTTCCTTTCCATGCGATTATCCTCACATCAGAGCCAGTCAACCTTTTTATGTACTTGGAACACTGTATAACTAGTTATTAAATGAGTTACAATTTTGCCTCCTTTATATTGCTTTAGAAACTAACTGTTTAAGATATGGTAGTCACTTAAAGGACCACTCCAAGCACCATAATGACCAAAGTTAACTGTTATGGTTGTGTTTCCAGAACTGCCTGGGCACCTTGCCCCATGGAAATATTCTGACAGCTTGGTAACTAACTTCTTAAATGAGTACGTAAGTCGCCCCTCTCATCATCCTCTCGGCTAGGAGCTTCTGTAAGATTTTTTTAAATGGGCATAGCTCAGAGCTGAGAGCTTCTGGCTAGAGAGGAGTGAAACTGTCTCCAAATGGATTGACTACTTACACTGAGGGGGTTCCAGGGCACTCCCGTCACCATAACCACTACAGCACACTGTAGGGATGATGGTGCTTTGTGTGTTCTGGTGAATAGGTAAGCACATAATTAGCTTTTTGGTGTGTAGTATAAATCAGTCAAAAAAATGTCATCAAATATATTTTTGTTTCTCATACACAGGCCCTTTTGGTGCTGTTCATCCTGGCTTACATTCACATTGCCTTCTCACGCTCTCCCATCAACTGCCTTGAGCATGTGCGAGATAAGTGGCCCCGAGATGGCATCCTTCGGGTTGAAATTCAATTGAACTCAAGTCGTGCACCGATTTTTCTGCAATTTTATGATAGTGACACTTTTCCGGGGCTGGTCAAGGAGTCTCTTGGGGAGGATGAAGAAGAGGAGGAAGAAGAGATGACAATGGATATGTACCAGAACAGTTCCATAAAGGTAATTCAAAGACTTATTTTTAAAAATATGTTTTATTGCTTCTGTCAATTTTGCATGTAACCATGTAGTGCCTTCGTAAACCCTTCCTGTAAAGTGAGATCTAATGTTTATACTTTCTTTATTGCACAGTCGGTTTATTTAGGATTTTTTTATTATCTCCTGCACTGCTAATAGTTTTCTAGACATTGCAGGATTCTCCCATGTATGAATAAAGTTAAATTTACAGAGCAGGAGTTACAAACTTCTAAAGAAAGTTGAAGGGACACTATAGACAACAAAATGTTTATCTTAATGAAACTGTTTTGCTGTATAGATCATGCTCCAGAAGTCTCCCTGCTCAGTTCTCTGCCACTTAGAAGTTAAATCACTTTGTGTATGCAGCCCTAGTCACACCTTCCTGTGTGATTTGCACAGCTTTCCTAAACATGTCATGTAAAGAGTCATATAATGTTTATACTTCCTTTTTTACATATTCCGAATATCTCATCTCCTGCTCTAATAGCTTGCTAGACCGTGCAGGAGCCTCCTGTGTGGTATTTAAAGTTCAATTTACAGAGCAGGAGATACAGTTTTAAAATAAATTTACATCTGATTGAAAGTAAAACCATTTTTTTCATGGAGGCTGTGTGAGATGCAGCCAGGTGAGGTGTGGCTTGGGCTGCATAAACAGGAACAAAAGTGATTTAACTCCTAAATGACAGTGAATTGAGCAGTGAAACTTCAGAGGCATGATCTATACATCAAAACTGAATCCTTAAAGGGACACTGTAGGCACTTTAACAACTTAAATTAGATTAAGTTGTTAGAGTGCCTTAAATATTTGCCTCCTTCTTACTTTCTAAATTGTTTCCTGTATTCTGTAAGAAGGGTTTAAACAATGCCTTTAAGCCACGCACCCAAGCCGGCCATTTCTGAGAGCAGGGAATGTAACTTCCCTGCTCTCGTACCCTGACGTCAGCACACTTAACTGAAATAAGGTATAATTTTGCTGCCTAATGCGCGCTCCCGCGATGTCAGACCTCCCTCCCCTTGTGATTTCCCGCTCTTTTAGTTCACATTCAGCGATCCTGAGCCACATTCACATCACTAATCTAAACTTCACATTATAAAAAGCAGCTCTCTGACACTGTGGCCACCTAAACTGTTCTATTCGCCCTCCCCTCCTTAACATTATTAACAATCTTTAAGCTGTTTGTTTTATTTAAAGTGGCACTGTCGTGCTGAACTTACCTTTCCCCAATCAATTCCTCTTCTGTCCCTCTCGTATCAGAATTTCATTTGAATGAATGAAACTCCGATCCTATTCTTGCTGTGGCTTGCAGCCGCTTAGTGGAGAACTCCCTAATTCTCACGGTGTCAGGGAGCTATCTACCAAAAGGCTGAAAGACCTAAATTGGTCTTTCAGCCACATTTACTGATACTAAGTAAAGATTACTTAGTATTAGTAAGTTCTGCCCCTACTTGCTATACCGCGAGTAGGGGCATGTCTAGTAAACAGTGAGAAAATATTGTCCCCACTCCTGTGCGGTGGGTGGGGGCCCTAAATAACAATGGGGGGGGACCTACTGTCCTCCCCCGGCCCGCACCCCTCATCGGTGGGTGGGGGCCATAAATCACAATGGGGGGTGGGGGAAGAACCTACTGTCCTGTCCCTAAGACAAATCTCCCTCTGCCTCCCCCCAAGCCCCTAGTCACACACCCCCCTCCCCCCACTCACCCACATAAAAACTTCCCCTACCTTTCCCCCCCCTACAAATCGTGAGGGGGGAATAAAATAACCTGTAAATAAAAGTAAAACTTTGATGTCTTCTTTCTTCTAAAAAAGGCCAAATAAAAAACTATCATACCCGTCGAACTTAAAATAAAAAAAATAAAAATCTGAGCGCAAAAAGAAACCCGACGAAAAAGGAAAAAACCTGACGCAAAAAAAAAAAATATATTTCTTCACCCATGGAGGGCTCCGCGCAGACTGAGCTCTCAGCCTGCAATTAGGCTAAGAACACTATGATTGGTTGGTTTAAGCCAATCAGAGTGCTCTTTGTCATTTTAGACGCTGTGTAAAATGACAAAGAGCACTCTGGCTTAAACCAACCACTTTTTGGGGCTCCCCACCCGCCGCTCATGGCTGGGGGCTGGGACAATAGGTTCCCTCCCTTTGCTGTTAGGCCTCCGCCCATGGGTGGGGGCCAGGAAATGGGTCCCCCCCCAATGTAATTTTGGGCTCCCACCCACCTGCTCATGGGTGGGGGCCAGGACAATAGGTTCCCCCCCCCTTCATGTTAGGCCTCCACCCTCCGTACATGGGTGGGGGCCACGACAATAGGTCCCCCTCCCACTGTTGCATTTTAGGCACCCACCCTCCACTCATGGGTGGGGGCAGGGGGAAAACCTGTTTGAACAGTTACTTCACAGCAGTGAGCCGATCTATGATTCGGCTCACTGCTTCTGAACACGTAAATGGAGCACATGCACAATAGAGCGTTCAGAGTTTCTCATAGGTAATCACTGAATACAATGATTCCCTATGGGTGTAATTTGATTGGCGCATAGCGACAAGTGCCGCGTATGGTCTGTAATGCTTCTCTATGAGAAGCTAGTGATTGGACCCGAACGATAGGTTACCGATGACGCGAAAAGGGACGGGGCATAATGCCGTGAGGTCACCTAAACAACGGTAAGAAAATAAGGTAATTATTTTATTAAAATATAAATATTAATAATAATTAAATAATTCTAATGCTGTTTGGTGCTATACAGTATATAAATATACTTATACAGTATATTATATATATATATCTCAAAAATCAGGATGCACTCACAGGACTTAGTTAAAGTGAAAAAAAGACTTTTAATTATTCCATGTGAAATGTACAGAAAAATCAATCGACGTTTCGACCCTGATGGGTCTTTTTCAGGATCAGGAACGTCGATTTCTGCATATTTTTGGCGCATAGGATATAGCACCCAGGCCATAAGTCTTCATTTACCATTTAAAGGAGAGTGCCAAGCATCTATTTTGTTGAGATATATATATATATATATATATCAGAAATATAACACACTGAAAGATAGTACAGTGTTCCTTTAAGCTAAAGTTGCTTTGGTCTATAGTGTCCCTTTTAATTCCATGGCTTAGGTGTGCTTGCACTAAATTGGATAGCAAGACATGTTCACGGTAAGTTTCCCTCCACTAGCAAGCATGTGAAAAAATATTGGCTGAGACTGTCAAGGAGGCAGATCCAGCACAAGTCAAACACAGCCAATCAGCATCTCGTCATAGAGATGACTTGAACCAATGCATCTCTGTGAGGTAAGTTCAGTGTCTGCATGCAGACACTGAATGGCAGTGATGCTTACTCTGCTGCACTTCCCAAGGAAGCTGCCCTAGCAGCCATCTGATGAGTAACCAGTGGAGTTATCACTAGGCTGTAATGTAAACACTGCATTTTCTCTGAAAAAGAGTGTTTACAGCAAAAAGACTGAATGGAATGATTCTACTCACCAGAACAAATGCAAAAAGCTGTAGTTGTTCTGGTGACTATAGTGTCCCTTTAAAGTTATGTAAATTTACACAATTGCTATTTTTCCACTTATTTGTTCAACCTTCATAAAAATATTTGGGAAATGAAAGTCTTTAGGCTGTATACAGTTTCCTTATCTTGCACACAGGGTCTAAAATATTGTTAAAGCCAAAATAAGATTTTTCCTAATATACTTTAGGTGTAACAAAAACAGACAAATGGTAAAATACTTTGTTTCTTAAAGAACCACTATAGTGTCAGGAAAACAAACTATTTTTCCTGGCACTATATAGTCCTTAGGTTCCCCTTCAGCCACTTACCTTTATCCAGCGCCGCGCTCACTCTGTTCTGATGACCTCTCGCACATTCAAACCGCCCATAGGAAAGCATTACTCAATGCTTTCCTATGGACGTTCTGCGTGCTCAATGCGATTTTCGTATTGAGCGTTGCGGAAGCAGCTGTCAGGAAGACTGCCACTAGAGGCTGGATTAACCCTGCAATGAAAACATAGCAGTTTCTCTGTTTACAGCTGCAGTGTTAAAACCTGTGGGACCTGACACCCAGGCCACTTCATTGAGCTGTAGTGGTCTGGGTGACTGTAGGGATCTTCCTGCCATTACTAGCAGTACAGTTTACTAAAAGTGGAAACAAAAGTATTTAAGCATAATGTCTACATACAGTAAATACAATTATATCATATATATGTAAAACACACACAGTACACCCCTCACATTTTTGTAAATGTTTTATTATATATTTTCATGTGACAACACTGAAGAAATGACAGTCTGCTACAATGTAAAGTAGTATGTGTACAGCCTGTATACAGTGTAAATTTGCTGTCCCCTCAAAATAATTCAACACACAGCCATTAATGTCTAAACCGTTGGCAACAAAAGTGAGTACACCCCTAAGTGGAAATGTCCAAATTGGGCCCAGTGTGTCAATATTTTGTGTGGCCACCATTCTTTTCCAGCACTGCCTTAGCTCTCATGGGCCTGGAGTTCACCAGAACTTCACAGGTTGCCACTGGAGTGCTCTTCCACTCCTCCATGATGACATCACGGAGCTGGTGGATGTTAGAGACCTTGCACTCCCCCACCTTCCGTTTGAGGATGCCCCACAGATGCTCAATAGGGATTAGGACTGGAGACATGCTTGGCCAGTTAACCACCGTTACCTTCAGCTTTTCTAGCAAGGCAGTGGGTTGTCCTGGAGGTGTGTTTGGTGTCGTGTTGAAATACTGCCCTGTGTCCCAGTCTCCGAAGGGAGTGGATCATGCTTTGCTTAATTATGTCACAGTACATGTTGGCATTCGTGGTTCCCTCAATGAACAGTAGCACCCCAGTGCCGGCAGCACTCATGCAGGCCCAGACCATGACACTCCCACCACCATGCTTGACTGTGTAGGCAAGACACTCTTGTTTTTGTACTCCTCACCTGGTTGCTGCCACACACGTTTGACACCATCTGAACCAAATAAGTTTATCTTGGATTATTGGAACCACGTCCTGTGCTCCGATGAAACCATGTCCTTAGTCTTTTTGTCTTTAGCAAACTGTTTGCGGGCTTTCTTGTGCATAATCTTTAGAAGAGTCTTCCTTCTGGGACGATAGCCATGCAGACCAATTTGATGCAGTGTGCGGCGTATGGTCTTAGCACTATGAAGAGCAACAATTCTTTTTTTCAGCTCCTCAGAGTTCTTTGCCATGAGGTACCATGTTGAACTTCCAGTGACCAGTATTAGAGAGTGTGAGAGTGATAACACAAAATTTAACACACTTGCTCCCCATTCACACCTGAGACCTTGTAACACGAACAAGTCACATGACACTGGGGAGAGAAAAGGGCTATTTGGGTGTACTCCCTTTTGTTGCCAATGGTTAAGACATTAATGGCTGTGTGTTGAGTTATTTTGAAGGGACAGCAAATTGACACTGTTATACAGGCTGTACACTTACTACTTTACATTGCAGACGAGTGTCATTTCTTCAGTGTTGTCACATGAAAAGATATAATAAAATATTTAGAAAAATGTGAGGGGTGTACTTACTTTTGTGAGATACTGTGTGTGTGTATATATATATATATATACACACACACAGCCAATACATCATATTTATTTTACAGCCAATACATAATTAAAGGATCACTATAGTGTCAGGAAAACTAAGCGGTTTTCCAGACACTATAGTGCCCTGAGGGTGCCCCCATCTTCAGGGTCCCCCTCCCGCTGGACTGAAGGTGTTAAAACCTCTTCAGCAGTTTACTTTTTTCAGCGCCGGGCTCCCTTGGTGCTTATGACCTCCCTTCCCCTGCCGACGTCAGCTTCCTCTGCTGACGTCAGTGGAGCCGAATGCGCATGCGCCGCGCGCATTCAAGCTGTCAATAGGAAAGCATGGACACTCTGCATGATAGAGGCATAATATGCTTCCAGTGTCGCAGATGCGTCTCTAGTGGCTGTCCGGAAGACCGCCACTAGAGGCTGGCTTAACCCTGAAATGTAAACATTTCAGTTTCTCTGAAACTGCTATGTTTGCATCTGCAGGGTTAAAACCTGAGGGACCTGGCACCCAGACCACTTCATTGAGCTAAAGTGGTCTGGGTGACTATAGTGTCCCTTTAACTAGCGTCTTCTTGCATAGAAATGTGTTCTTCTACAGGCTAATAATTACTATAGAGTACAAATTGGCTATACGGACTAAATTTCATTCACATTAAAGTAAAAATGTTTATATCTAGACTCATTAGAGTTTATTTACCAAACACTAATTGTACTAAATAGAAAACCAGATTCCACAAGTTGAAAAAAATATAAGCAGCTTTCCAAATGATTCAATACGGTTAGAAACATTTCTAAGTGATTTATCTACACAAGTTAACTATAAAGTCTATGGGACTCTTTGTAGATAAATCATTTGGAAATGTTTCTATCTGTATTGAATCCTTTTGGAAAGCATATTAAATCGAGGCCTAAGTCTCTTGGGTATACTTAAACACTCATGTATTTTAACATTTTTCCTCTTTATTATTATTATTATTTTGTAACTATTCTGTTGACATTGGGTTTCTCTGCATTTCTTTTGCAGTTTGAATTGGATATAGAACCCAAAGTGTTCTTGAAGCCATCTCTAGAGAGTGTAACAAGGGCTTCAGACAACCAAAGTCAGGCTCTGTCTTTCAGTGATGCTGCCAGCAAAGGTGAGTGTCCACTACCCATCAGAATTGCCCCCCTCCCATCATTTGACAAAATGACAGTGTTGTTTAGATTCATGTCATCTTAGAACAGTCAAACAGCCGTACACTTGAAACAAAACCCTTCGCATTTTACTTGCTATTCATGTGCATTCTACATCAGTATGCTTGGCTGAGTCCATTTATATAATGACCTCTAGGTAATTTAGAAGGAGGGGGGGTGTAAATTTTAATATTTTTATGTATACATATAATTTATTTTGGTATGTGTTTGCTTCTTGTGACTGGTAGTCCTGTGTGCCATTTTGGAGATAGATAGAAAGCACTGCAGAATAAGCTGGCGCTATATAAATACAAATAATAATAAAGATATATGTTTGTTTTTTCACAAATATTAAATCAAGGTCGTCATTTTATATGTGGTTTACTTATTTAGTTAATGCACCAGTCAAATGGCTTAATGAAATACTTGCCAAATTTGTCCAGATGCTTATGATGGAGAAATGCACCATGATATTACATAAATATTTCGAAGAGGAACTGCCACTTCCCCACAACTAAATCGATATATCAAAGTTGGCTATGGAATATGCTTAGTGGTGTTTGTTCAGTTTATTTTAATAAAAAAATGTTTTTCTTTAAACCTGCGTACTTTGCCGGCCAGATGTATTTGTGTCTACAGCATTAGGAGAGAATTCTGAGCATGCATGCATACAGAATATCTGTTAGAAGTCTAAGTGCGCATCTGTGTACCTGGGCATCTGGGGTGGTGAAGCGCCTAGAAATTCAGAATTACATTTTATTTTTTAAACCTTTGTATCTTTTATTCACCACTGTAAATGCTGTGACAGATTTACTAGGGTGAATTAAGGAGGAACTGTCAGTTGTCTGTTTTACCATTCATAATTGTGTTCATTCAGTGGATCTGTGCACTCAGTGTTCATTAGCAATTAAAGTAAATGCTAATGATGTTGGTTCTCTCATACTTGGTTAGTTGACTTTACCTTGTCATTATGGGTTAACTCCTGCCGCAAAGAGACGTAAAAGGTAGCACCGAAGTTTCTCAATTGGCTTACAGAATGTCAGATGTGTGCAAGCAAACGGCAGAATGTTGATTGAAGGAATGGGATACTACCCAAAGTAATGAGTGTACATGATTGTTCGTATTTGTTCCTACCCCCAAAAAAGCATTTTTTGGTTATAGTTATATATTTCTAGTAAGCATGAGTTATCCTATCCAGTACACATGTTCTGATGTAACTGGAAGCCATTGCACTTTCACCATACACTATAATCTTCTCATGTCTGACATCGTAAAGGTTACATTGTAAGTAGTTCCCTTTGTTAAACGAAGTCCTAAAGCACCATAACCATGAGTGGCCCTTCTGCACTCCCAGAATAAGTAGTCAAATGGTTTGACAACTTATCCTGGTCTCACCAGCACGTCATGCCTCTACCTTCCCTGCTGCATTTGACTTGTTACATTTAGGGAGGCACCAGAGCATTCCTGGCACTTTAACACCACAGAGCGTTATTTGTCATGCCTTATAACCCTTTTCTTTGTAAAATTTTTACTTTTAGTGTTTATTTGAACTGTTATTCCAGTGTCTGGAATTTCAGTTTATCCTGCTAAAGTCTGCTTTATTTTCAATTACATTAAAGCATATTTTAACTTACATTTTTGGCCCTCTCCCCCACCCTATCTGTTTTCACACCTTATCACTTGTTCGCTATCCGAGGTCCAATAAAATGCTTCTTATAGCGAAGCATTTGATTGGACTGATCTCACAGGCTTGTGCGTACTCTGAGCTGGGAAGCTAGAGAGGGAGGCTGGGCTACAGAAGGGCCATGATTTAAGGGAGGCAGTAAAAAAAGAAAAAGCGAATGATTGATCGACAATGTAGAGAGGCATTTGCCAGGGATCCCAAAAAAAGGCAATGGATATAGCATAAAGGGAGGTTGGGGGGACTCGCATGATGGAGAGGACAAAAGCAGAAGTGGTCATGGAGGTTGGAGTAATTTAAATACACTGATTGTCTAACACTAGATGTGTAGTTATAGGCCTAATTATTAGTCTAATTATACATTAAAAATTCTTTCCAAGCACCATTACAACCACAGCTTATTAAGGTACAAGTAGTCTTTGGGTGCAGTTCCTCCAGTTTTTCTGAAACTGTTTTTAATAGACTTGTGCACAAATCCCGTTCATGCGATTAACAAGCATTTGATTTTTTCAGCACAGCTGAATGGGATTTGAGCAATAGTATAGTTTTTAAGTGGAGCCCAAAATGTACTGAATCTGCTGCCACTGACATAATAAGTAATTTCTATTTCTCGCTATCTTTTAACATTTGTGCAGCACTAAAAGCCAGCAAGCACTGGGCTTGATTTTTAAATTATTTCTGGTGCTAAGTGGAAATGGTCAACAATGAGTGTTGGGTCAGAAGGGAGCCTAGGGCATGTGTTGCTCAGTGTTCTTTTTATTTAATTTACGAGATACATGTCTGTACATATATACCTTGCAAATCTTTGTATGTTCATATAATCCTGTTAGGTTTTTGTTTACTGCTGCTTCCTTACAGTACTCTGTCGTTTTTTTTTATATCACGGTGACATATTACATGCATTTTTATTTGCAGTGTGGCCACAAGAAGAGTATATTGTAGAATATTCTCTGGAATATGGCTTTCTCCGGCTGTCCCAGAGCACGCGGCAAAAACTCAACATTCCTGTCATGGTTGTTACACTTGGTGAGTCCCCAATTCACATCTGACACAATAAATTACAATAAATCATTAACGGTTCCAATTATGGGCAATTGGAAAACACTGGGATATTTTGCCTGGCATGCTCATTACAGTCCTCGAAATAGCAGCAAGCAGTGTGTGCAAGGATTTTTGGGTACACAGGTGAAGATGGCTTTTTTATTTTATTTTATTTTTTTCCTCTTTCCTCCCCTCACCTCCCTTTCCCTTAGTGTTTCTCTCCCCTCCCCTCCATGTCCCTTAGTGTTTCTCTCCCCTCCCTTCCCTGTCCCTCAGTATTCCTTCCCCCCCTTTACCTTGCTCTTAGTGCTCCCTATCTTAGTGTTCTTCTCCCCTCCCCTTTAGTGTTCTTTTATTCCATTCCCTCTCATGTCCCTTGGTGTTCCTCTCCCCTCCCTCCCTTGTCCCCTTAATGTTCCTCTCACCTTTCTTTTAGTGCCCCCCCCACCCTGTGTTCCTTTTCCCTTCCATCCCCTCTACCTTTTTAATGTCCCCACCGTCCCATAGTGTTCTCCCCCCCACTCTCCCCTGTCCCATAGTGTTCTTCCCCTCACCCTCCCTTGTCCCATAGTGTTACCCTCCCTTGTCCCATAGTGTTACCCTCCCTTGTCCCATAGTGTTACCGTCCCCCACCCCCACTTTGGCCCCGGTGTGTCTCCTACCTCTTTGTAGCATGGCCGAGCGGAGCAGACCGCAGTACAGGAGCTTCAGTTTCCTGTACCTGGCCGGACTGACAGGAAGTGCTCTCTCATTGAGCACTTCCTTTCAGTCCGGTCAGGTACAGGAAACAGATCCTCCTGTACCGCGGTCCGCCTTGCTTGGCCACGCAACGTTGAGTGTCTTGCCGGAGGGAGCGCTGTGCGCCCACCTCCTTCTAGTCATTCGAATCTAGTGTCCCGCGAGCCGCTGCGCCCTAAGGCGGCCGCTTGTGCCGCGTTATGGACGCGCCGGCCCTGCTAATGCCTATTCCATGCGTGCTTAAACTCCTTCAAGAGTTTATTTTTCTTTTGCTTGTTTTCTAAATGGGACACCACAGCACAACAGTGGTGCTAATAAAAAATATATAAGAAATTAAATAATATGAATTTTATTCTGCATAAACAACCATTAGAGGGGACTGCACTCATCTCATAGGTAATATCCTTAAAGGGACACTAGGCATCTAGACCACTTCAGCTCATCGAAGTGTTTGGGTGCATAGTCCCTATTTCACTTCAGTGCTGAAATGTAAAACGTTGCAGTTTTAGAGAAACTGCAATTTTTACATTGCAGCATTAAGACAACATGTATTGACTGTCTACCAGACAGCCACTAGAGGCCCTTCTGGAATGATACTGGACTTTTGGTCCGCTAACTGACGCTGTATATCCTCACACTCTGCATGAAGACATCCAGCGTTAGCTATTTCCCTATAGGAAAGCATTGATTCAATGCTTTGCTATGGAGAGGGCCTAATGCGCGCACAGCACTTGCCCCTCTCCAGCGCTGAGGGACATTGTTGCCGGTATCATGTAAATAAATGGGTTTTAACCATTTATTTACCACAGCAGGAATGGGGGAGGCAGAGGGAGCTATAGTGCTGGGAATAGAGCTTTGTATTCCTGGCACTATAGTATCCCTAAAATTCTCAGTTATACCAAACATGGATGTGATGCTTTGGGGTGGGTTTATACCCTGGTCACAATGTTCAGACAAAAGAAAGGGGAACAGGCACTCAACTTTTCAAATGGCGCTTACAGGGCAACCATGACTTTTCTCAAACCTTTATCATGGTTCGTGACCGATATGTTGCCTTGTAAGCCTAGTGATGTGCTTCATTAGATATGTCCTATTATAAAAATTGAGTGCCTGGACTTCTTCAATATTTTATCTTAAGTATTGGTCTTTGGGATACTTTGCGCATCAACCATTGACATGCTATTTACATTTTTTTTTTTTTCTTCTGTTAGACTTTATAAACAAAGCTCTCAACTTAATGCAAATCACTGTATTTAACTCTACACATTAATTATGTACAATTCTTGCCTTCGTTGCAAGCAGATGTTGAACAAACTTATTTACCGAGGAACTATACCGTATAGTATATCTGAAAATATACATTTGGCTGTTAAGCACATTATCACTCTCTGCGTTTCAATAATAATAATTGTGGGCCATTTACCAAAGATGTGCAAGTGTACAATAGTAGCTACCAAGCAATAAATATCAATTTAAAAAATAATTGAACGACTGTATTTTTCAGTAAAGTAAACATATAGTCAAACATCTGTTTATTCTTGAATCTTAATTTTAACACTATTGGTAGCTGTCATTATGTTTATTTCTTTGAAACACAGACCCCACCCGAGACCTGTGTTTTGGGGACCGATTCAGCCGTTTTCTTCTAGATGAATTTTTGGGATATGATGATATTCTCATGTCAAGTGTTAAGGCCTTGGCTGAAAATGAGGAGAATAAAGGTATGTGATTGCTGTATGGTATATGAAATATTTTGTATTCACCATCCTGGCACTTTGCATAATTGTCTCCTCTCTTCTCAGGATTCCTAAGGAATGTGGTTTCAGGAGAACACTATCGGTTTGTCAGCATGTGGATGGCGCGCACCTCATACCTAGCTGCCTTCGTCATCATGGTTATATTTGTAGGTTCAAAAGAGAAGCATGCCAGACTATCACTACACAAAGCAAAACCTCTATCATGAAGCCGGCCTTGTTTGAAAGATACATTTAGAACTTAAAACATTGTGCAGTATTAAATTAGCTCCCCTTTGCTTATGTAATTTTTCATGGTTACTTTATTTGTTTGCAAAAAAATTCACTGCATCTCATATGTGAAACAAACAAGTTACTTAAAGAAAGTATTTTTAGTAACCGTCACATCTGTGGCTGCATTACTGTAACCATAAATAGAACCCTCTCTGTGAGCTGCAGTCCACTTGAACAGTAGTGTCACTCACATTTTCTAATAATTGAAGTAGTGAACTACATATCACTTTATTTTAGGAGATCAGCTCAACACTGAATAATTAGGTGGGGGGGGGACTATTTAATATTAGTTTATTTAAAATTAGTTTATATTTAATATGAATTAAAATTTCTTTCTTATTTGACTTGTTTTTGTATGTTCTGCTTCTTGTAGACACTCTCAGTCTCCATGCTGTTAAGATATTCTCACCACCAGATCTTTGTCTTTATTGGTAAGTGTCAATCTTCCTCTATTCTGTAAAAATGATACTTCACTAAAACGTTTTCATCTCGGAAAATCCGTGTTTTCCTTGAATTAAATGTTTCTTAATCCAGCTTGTTCTTTCTTCCTCACTTTTTTTTTTTGTTCTTTCTTCCTCACTCATTTGTCTGCAGTGGATTTACTGCAGATGTTAGAAATGAATATGAGTATTGCATTTCCAGCTGCTCCACTACTCACTGTGATCTTGGCCCTTGTAGGTAAGTTGTGTATTAATACTCTATAGAGCTGTCATGTTCCATATCTCTGCAATGCGTGTATCTGCGTTATTATGATAACCTATCTTCTCAGGGATGGAAGCAATCATGTCCGAATTCTTCAATGACACCACCACTGCTTTCTACATTATCTTAATTGTGTGGCTTGCTGATCAGTATGATGCGATATGCTGCCACACCAACACCAGCAAGAGACACTGGCTCAGGTCAGAAAGTTGCACAAGTTTGTCTGTAGACTTTTTTTCCCCCTTGTGCCTTTGTTTTCTGCTTTATATACTATTCAGTCTGCTGCCTCCTCTGTTTCCAATAATATTCAAAATAATCAGATATTCCTCCTCCCCTGCTGCATTAATGGAATATATTCAGATATGTCTTTGACATGTATTTTCTTATTAATTTACCTTTTCAGGAGAAATTAAACATAAAAGTGCATAATTTATAGAAGTTTGCATATATATTTATAAGTTAAGGAACTTTATTTCTACTTGTATTGCTCTAAAAGTTTTAATTGTAATTAAACAAATGAGACTTCTTTTGTTAGTAAAATCTTATCTGTCACTCCCCAGAATATGAATTCTATCTGCCTCTGTTCGTATCCAAAATTCATCTTTCACATTTGTTTCTCAGTAGATTTTCTTGTCACACTTCTTACCTGCTATCTCTAAAGTATGTCTTTTGCCACACGAAACTACATGGCAAGCAAGTTTGAGATCTCTCATTGAAATGAGATAATACTGTGCTATTTCAAATGAATAGTTTACATTTATGCACCAATGACCCCTCAGACATGTCAGTGACCTCCCCCCATGTTCAATTATTTTTCTTTAACCTATTTGATATGTCCTAACTGCCCTGTGAACTTCTCTATTTACACTCACTTCCTCCTCCCTTCTTCGTCTACCACTTTCAGCCTTTTCATATGTTTACCTTTTCCCCACAGGTTTTTCTATTTGTATCATTTTGCATTTTATGCATACCATTATCGTTTTAACGGGCAGTACAGCAGTCTGGCACTTGTTACATCTTGGCTCTTCATTCAGGTAACATCACCTTCCTACCAAACTCTCTCTGCACTATTTATTCTTTATTTTATTTATTTTTATTAGGTTTTTAAATTATAGGTACTCTTTAAATGCCATCACAATAAATGCTTTTTTTCACACCAACTCTGCTTCAACTACATCTTTCACACTTTGTCAGGGGTGCCTGAAAGATACCCAGCTGGTTTAAAACTATAGCTTCCATGATGCTTTGTCATTTTAAATGCATTGTTAAGGCATGCAAAACTACAATGTAGTTGTAGTTCTTTAAGATCTGGGGATCTACCTTCTGAGCACCCTTGCTTGATGTAGATGTGCTTGCCCCTGTACACCTGCAAATGACAGAAGAGAGTATGTGGCAGCCTCTGTCACAATTGGTTTAATTCATGAAAAGCATAAATACTGTTACTCACCATGTTAATTAAAGCACCATATATGTAACAACACCCAACTGTTAATTGGAGGAAAAAGGAGGACCAGAATTTGATGAGAAATATCATCTGTTAGTTTTATTGGGTACTATTGAATTGGCAGATCATGAGGATTCTTTTTTTTTGTTTCTTTCATCATAATGCAGGAAAAAAGATGAAACCTACTCCAGTGTTGTTTTTAAAATATATATTATACCTCTGTGACCATATAGTTGTCTCAGAAAATGCTAGTTAATTACTGTTCACTTACAGTCCACTAGTGGCCATAAAATGTTCCCATGTTATGTTGTCCCTTTTTTTTTTAATTTTTTTTTTTTATGCTACATAAGTTTTATGGTGTTTAGTCATAAGAACAGATCAGTATAGTGGGGGGGAAAGACAATTGTTGGGGCAGTGAAAGCAATATGCATAACATGCCTATCCTTACTCTCAATAGCACTCTATGATCTATTTCTTCCATCACTATGAGCTGCCCGCTATCCTGCAACAAATCAGAATCCAAGAAATGCTTCTTCAGAATCAGCAGGTGGGCCAGAACCAGACAAGCCTTCAGGATAATCTGAACAACAACACAGCCTCTGAGCCAGCAGGAGCAACTTCCCCACCTACACCGGCAGTTCCCCTTCAGCCTCCCACAGCCAATGTCCATCACACAACCTTAGATGACAGCTCTGGTTCCTCTGTTGGGGTCTTGAGTGATCCCATTGTGAATGTTCTCACACCTGCAGCACAACCTATGGAAGCTGCGATCCATGATGCATTGCCTTCTAGATTTGAGGAGCCAAATCAAGAGGCTCCTGGTAGTGATCCTACAATTTCTGATATAGCTGCATTGACGCAAACAGGAGATCCTCCCCCTATTTTGCAAAATAATGTCCACAAAAATAAGACTGAAACACCTGAGGTGGGGGCAACTTCTCATACAGACTGCAGCCCTTTGATATTCCCAGCAACTGTCCTTGAGTCAGAGCAGGACCGTATCACAACAGCAGATTCTACAATGCAAAGTGCACAAGATACAGTGCATCCTATGGGAGACTCTTGAGTTTAACTTTGCATTTAAAATATTCTGGCGTTGCTCCTGACTGCCGGAAAGAGTGTACTGCCCATAGTGAGGAGTCATTCTAAGCATTAATGGACCAGGGGCCAACAGCACATGGACACCAGTGCATGTGTGTGTTGGGTTACATGCAAACACTGACTGCAGTTGCTTTAGTTCATTCATTTGATTATCTCACAGGAAGTCTCCTAGGAACTAAATATGTGAAATCTTTCAAAGAAGAGTGTTATCTTGGTACAGAAACCTTGGAGTGCATTTAAATAAAATGTATATGTTATACATGGACACTTGCGCAGTACCACAAATTCTGAGCCCATCCCTGTAATTAGTGCTTCAGGCTGTAAACAGCATAAATGTTCCTTTACAAATATTTACAGTCCATAAAATTTGGCAACCACACAAACGCTTTATTTTTTGTGTTTGGATAGGCCATTCCTTTTCAGAGCCATGCTGAACTTTCAATATTGTTGGGTATTTTTTTTTTTTTTACTTTTCATTTTATTATTATTATTATTATTATTATTATATAGCAGCCTAAGCAACAAGGTTAACTAGGCTGCCCTAACACAGATTTAGCCATACGTATTGCACAGTGAATACTGTTAAATTGACATCATAGTAAAATGTTTTATACCCAAGATCCTAAATTTCAGTTGTTGAGGTGCATTGGAGTCTGTGTGGTTTGTTGAGGTGCATTGGAGTCTGTGTGGTTTGGTAGATTGAGGGAGAAGTTACCAGCACAGTGTCTGGAGATTGTGGCAGAAGATATGTATAGTATGTATATGTGCCTTTCTATCTGTGGCCACTAAATAATGCTGTGTAGTAAGCATATGGAAACTCTTTACTTCCCTTCCATTATTAGTATTGCACTTTCTGTTCAACAAGCAGCTGGCTACACAGCCTTTGTGCATGTAAATGTATACCTTTTGTGTGTGTTTGAACTTTATATATGTATGTATGTGTATATACGTACATACATATATGCAAATATTACACAAATGCATCTATGTATCTGATATGTGTATATTAGCCAAGTGTTTATTAACACTTTTATTGGATACATAAATGCATGTGCATATTAAATGTGTCTACCCTGTATATTGACCGATGATTCGCTCTGATATATATATATTTCTTACAACAATTTATGTAAGATGCTGCTTATTCATGCGGGATTACTTCCCTTACCCCCTATTCCTGCGTTTGTAATTAAACCCTTCAGAGCAAGAATATATATATATATATATATATATATATATATAGAGCATTATTTATGTTACAGAGTCTGCATTGAAAGGATTAAGCTGCAAATCATTAGTTATTTAGGGCCTTTTGATCCTGAACGCTTGTTTATGTTTTTAATGTAAGGGGTTGTTAGTGTTTAGCTTCCCAACGGCTGACAAATCGATGTGGGTTTTCATCCGTCAACAGCCAAAAAGCTGAGCATTGTTCTAGAGAATGGCTTAATATCTTTTAGTTAAACTCAATGAGTATCTGGGATGTGGTGAATGATTGTCCCATCATCCATTCTTCTATTTAATTGTAACAAACTACATGACATTCATAAATTGTTTTGTATATATGACAATAAATATTTTATCCGGCATTTAAGTGTGTTGCGAGCTGTATCAGAAGATTATACAATACTTGTTCATATTTTTAAGCTATTCACTACTCCTAAATACGTGTTTACTCTTTACCTTATATGTCACTATGTAATAGACAAATATATGGCTTTATTTGTTTTTTCGTTTTCCCCCAAGGTGAGAACATGCATGCACATCTGGAAATCATAATTTTTAGTGAAAACGCAACTTGTTGGAAAGTACAATTTTCAGATTAGAACAGGAATACACGTTATTGAACATGTTTAAATGTACATGATCAAAAAGGACTACACACATCTTTGATACACACGTTGAAAATAGAGCCCTTGAACTACTAGTGGACAAAACATTGGTACCGTTCCTTCATGTTGGCTTATAATATGGTAGTGGGTTGTTGATTAGTATGATCTCAATTACTGTGTCAGGTTTGACACAAAAGTATTGCCAACATATTCCTTTCGAGTATGATTAGGGTGGTTTTGCTTTGTGCGACTTCTCAACATTTTACAACTTTCATGATGTTTCATTTATGGATGAATTGTAAAAAACGCTCAATAGACCTTGTTGGAATGCTAACTACAAATCAGCTGGATAATACAGTGCATGCACACACTTCATCCTGTTACGTTATTTATTAAAAGGGTCCTGTTACTTTTCTGAAAATTACACCATTGAATAAAACCTTTTAAATCACCTACTGCTTGCGTTAAAGGAACAGTAAGAGTAGACTCCAGACCCTTAGCAATTTTATCTCTATGAAGTTGTTATGGGAACTGGAGTTAAATGTTTTTTTGTTGTTTTTTTGAATGGCGTAACCCCAAATTTCTCCACATAGTTACGCATCATCTCTATCTCATGTCTCCTCCCTTGGCGCCATACAGTACAGGAATGTTTACCTTTGTTGGCAGGTACAGGACTGAGAGCATAATTTGTCACTCGTGTACTATAACTGGCTGGCTATTGTAAATAATAGTGCATATTGTTTTTCAGTGGGCAGCCAATGGTAAGCAGAGTGGTAAGCTGGTGCTCTCAGCCAATCTTCTGCAGCCCATACTGCACTTCTCTGCTCAGTATGGCGGCTGAGCATAAAATAGAGAACCTAGTGCTGGCTGGCACACAGGAAACTATTTAGGTGTTAAAAAATGTTTGCCACCAGAGAAGAGAATCCTTTTAACCCCTTAAGGACCAAACTTCTGGAATAAAAGGGAATCATGACATGTCACACGTCATGTGTCCTTAAGGGGTTAATGCCATATTTGACCAGGCATTAAGCAACTACCTATTTTTGCTAGTTGAGTTTCAACTGTAATAAAGCGACTCCATCACAAAAAATAAACACTGACCATTTCATAATGACTAAATCTAATACATTTCAAAAAGGCTGTGTTAGCATTTCATTGGAATTCCAATGCAGTTAAAAGATATGGGTCAAAGTAGGGATTTTGGAAATTGACACTTTTATAAATCTTGTAACATCCCCCTTCTGTCAATTAGACAACTGGTCCTATTACTTCCTTCTAGATTAACTCAATGGAAATAAACTTGAGGCAGGCAGTTTCCCAGAAGGTATGGGCTTGCAAAAGCTGCAGACGAATATCTGTAGCTTTTGCCAGGTGTTTGACATATATCGCCAGTGAATTGAATACATGCATGGTTTTTATTGGGGGTATATCTACTAAATATCAAAATGTATTTGGGAACTGGAGTGCCCGTTTAACTTTATATATATATATATATATTGCATTATATGAAGAAATAGCAGAACTATAGATCAGGGTGTTGTAATGGGATTTGCTTGGGTTGGGTTTTGTGAAGGCATTTGCCAACCGTTCCATACAAAAGGTTACTATTAACTTGAAATCATTTAGTTTTGATGTACAATTTTTTTATTTTATTTTTTGGCCAGGACTTTAACTTAAATGTCAAATTGGAAAAAAGAGGTAAGTGGAGTGCCTCAAAGTGCTGTCCTGGGTCCATTTCCCTTTAAATTGTTTATAAATTATCTTGAAGTGGGCATTGAAAATAATGTCACTATTTGCAGATGACACAAACTGGGTGAGAACATGATGTATAACGTGTCTAAAGAGGGATTTGAATAAAAAAAAAATTGGGGGAGGGGTGGGAAACTTATGTATTTAAAGTGAATGTCCTTGCTAAACCAACTTTTGCTCTTTTAAAAGAGGTATTCTATCTATACATTGTATTTGCAATTTTGATAGCAATTGCATAGATTTGGAGAAAAACGGATTTAAATATTTTTGGGGTTTTTCCTCCTCCCATCTGACTCTTCATTAGTTGTAAGACACTCAATGCATGCACTGTGGTTGCTATGGAAAATCTATAGCGGACACTACTGCTTTCAAGGGCGCACTCCTTTCAGATTACGGCTGTCAAGGGAGCACTCCTTTCAGATGCTGGCACGATGCCAGAATGTTGGTGCCATGGAGGATTCCCCTGCTTGGGAAAGTGTCCAAAGCAGTGCAAATCACAGAAGACCTGAGAAGGAGCTTTGGTGGACAAAAGTGTAACACCCACCTACGTAAGAAAATCTGAGGGCCAGGTAAGATGTGGCAGTTTCCCTTTTAAATGGGGTTATGGATAATATTAAAGGGACACTATAGGCACCAAAAGCGGTTTTGGTGTATAGATCTTACCCCTGCTCAATTCTGTGCAATTTAGGAGTTAAATCACTTTTTTTTTTTGTGCTTATACAGCCCTAGCCACAACTCCCCTGGCTGTGACAGATGCATCCTGCATTGGGGAAAAAAAGTTTCATTTCCAAACTGTTTACTTGCTTTAGACATTTTTAATCTTTTGCGCTGTACATTGAACTTCAATTGGTCTAGATTGCAGACTTTAGGGTCTAGAAAACCATTAACAGAGCTAGGCATAATACATTCTAAATTAAACAGTATGCAATAAAGTTTAAACATTAGAGATCTCTTTGCAGGAAGTGTTTAGGAAGGCTGTGCAGGGAGGTGTGACTAGGGCTGTATAAACAAAGTGGTTTAACTCCTATATGGCGGAGAGACTATAGGGGCATGTTCTGTACACCAAAGCTGCTTCCTTAAACTAATATTGTTTTGGGGACTATCCCTTTTATATGAAAAGGACTTGGGAACATATGGAGATAACTAGCTAGACAACTATGCAATGCTGATCGGCCATTACAAAGGCTAGTAATGTGCTGTCATACATAGAAAGTGGTATTGATTCACATAATCAAAATTCAATTTTGTCTCATAAATCATTAGAAAGATTCCACCTTGGATATGAAGTACAATTGTGGGCACTGATTTTTAAAGAGATACTGCTTAACTTGAAAAAGTGCATAGGTGAGCTACAAAATTAAGAAGGGGAATGGAAAACTTTAGTTATGAAGAAAGGCTAGAAAAACTGCATCTGTGTCTCAGTGGGGGTTATGGTAGCGCTATACAAATATGTGTGGTCAGTGCAAACTGCTATATACTAACTTTAGCTGGAATATACAACATGCTAAATCATCCATTGAGAGGAATGTGTTCTTTACCGTAAGAAGAAAGATCTGAAATTCTCTACCCAAAAAGGGTGGTCCTCAGATGTCTTCTAAACAGGGCTGGAAATCCATCCTGCCCCTAAATAAAATAGAATATACACGTAAATAATCAATTATTCCTTTTTTAGGATAAATCTGAAATCTACCCTAGAGTCAATAAGGATTTTGTGGTATAATTCGCCATCACTTTTTTTTTTTTTTTGCCTTCTTTTGGGTCAGCATTATAAGATGTTACAAAGGGTGCAATTGAGAAAACATACCCCATAAGATTTTCTGCCCTGTAGAAATTAGAGGCATATAGTTAAGCATTTAATTGGATTTGATCACTGCAGTTAGAATGAATTCTGTGCATGCAGGTAGACTACCTCATCATGACCTGTTTAAAAAGTACCATGTGTTATGTTTGGAGTTTTTCTTTAACCCCTTAATGATGTTAGGGTGTGCAATGCTGTCATGCAAAAAAGAGGGCTTTAACAAAGTTAGGGTGGCATAGAATATCCTAACCATAGTGCCCTTCCAGATGCCTGGCCATTTACTCTCCGCAGCAATCCCGATCGGTGGGGATTGCCTGACAACTGAGGACACCATGAAAGGACATTACAAGCATATTGGTTCTATATTTGACCCTCTGACATTCCAATACCGCATAAAAAAAAAAATGTACATGAGGATTATTGTTGCTCTTGTGATACATCGCTGAACACATGATTGTTTTAGAGTAGTAAAATGTATGACAATATAATTGGTGAAAGGGCACTGACTAAAAAAGGGAGGACATTCCACATATGGTCTCAAAGGCAACATAAGCCCAGCAAACCAATCTGGCAACTTTCAATGTGTAAAAACTGAAATGGGCAAGCTCTTTATTTGACCGTGTAACTTTCCAAAACACCATGAAATCTGTACATGGGCACCATGTCGTACTCGTGGGACATCACAGCATACAAATGTGTTTTATTGCAGTAAAAGCATTCTGACATTCACAGTTCTGTCATGCAGAATTTGGAAAATAACATTTCTTAATTTCTCACACAATTTTATTCATATTATATTGTGCTTCATATATAAATATTTGATGTGAAATTTAAACCTTATTTCTCCTGAACTAAATGACCTATAGGAAAACTGAGCCTGTAGTTGTAGGAAGGGTTACCTTAAATACATGGATCGGAGGGAAGGGAATTAAAGGGGGGTGGAGAGATGATTAATTTTTAGGGGGCAACACAAAATTTATTTATTTACAAATCAAGTTAAAAAAAAAAAGAAAAAGACAAGACAGGTAAAGGAAGTAAAAATAAATAAAAATTGAATAATTATATATTATGGTAAGTTATAATGGCTCCATCAAGATAAAACTTCTCATCATCTGAGCTTCCACCTTCACATCGTCTTCATCCTGTATTGTATGTAAATGTGTCATTGCTCATGAATACTTATTTTCAGGAGGAACTGTGGATTGGAATGATGCTGAACTAACCCCAGGGAGAAATACTATAATTGGTCCTAAAAACCTTGCCGTTTGAGACCCATTTGTATTACTTGTGTTCTTTTGTTGTGTGCCTTATCCTCTTGCTATCTTTTGGTAACCAGACCACTTGGCTGTCTTCCTGGATTTTCAGTTTTCGTTGCCTGCCCCAACTTCTACATCTGACCTTATGAGATTTTGCAGTGTACCTATGGACTAGATGCTTTTCAGCATTAGGCACCTTCAGTAAACTGTAAATTGTCTATTTATTCATGGCAATGTACTGCTCTTGAAATAATTGTTCTCTTGTGATTTATTAATCCAATCTTAAACAAAACACACAGGTTCATTCCTTCTATCTTGTAATGTGTCTAAAATCTTGTTGCCGATCGTGAGTGATTAGTGATGTCTTATGCTTTCTTGTAGAAGAACGTGCAGGAATTTCAATGATTACGTGAGCTGAACAATAAGCATGTACTTAGTAGAAATTTGAAGCAAGAATTAGGTTCAGGTTTGAGTCAGGCAAAAGGTGGCAAACGATTTGTTATCACCTGTCAGATTCTGTTTGTCCCTTTTCCCTGGATGTGTGTGAGTGCAGGTTGTGGAACCCACAAACCTTTGTGGATGCATTAGGCTGGTCTAAAAAAAGTCTTAGTTATCCGAGACGTTGTTGTATACATGAAAGAAAACATTTACTGAATTTATAAGATTATCTTCTTCTCAATATCCACTCTAATACTACATACTTTATGTTTTATTACTGTTGATCTACTGTCAGAAGGGCTCAGTTCAATCTCTAAATATGCAGCCCAATCACAAGAGATAATATAATATTTTTTTTATAAAAAAGCAAAAGCACGTGGGGTATACTAAAACGTATAATTTAAAAAAAAAAGAAGCCAATTTCAATAGGATTAGGGCAGGTTTACAACATATCGACTGGCATAAACTCCTTCGTGGAAAAAAACCACTGAGGATAAATGTAAACTATTCAAACAAATATTAGTAAAGTACATTTATCAGTATGTACCATTGGGTAATACATGGAAAAGAAACAAATTGAGACCAATGTGGCTTACTAGAGAAGTAAAACAGAGTAAAAATAAGAAAAGGGCATTTAAAGTGGACATATCAGAGGCATCCTATATAAGATGTAAGGAAGCCAATAATGCTTGCAAAAAGGCAATTAAAGTGGTTAAACTAGAAAATGGGAAATTGATAGACAAAGAATACAAAACCAACCCCCAAATTTTTCAAGTACATCAATTTAAAAAAAACAAACAAACAAAGGATGAAAGTATAAGTACATTGGAAACAGATGGGTCTGTTAGTTAATGTATGTAAATAAAGCTCCGGGGCCTGAAGGTATTCACCCACGAGTACTTGAGTGGGGAAATAAGCGAACCTCTGTATTTATTCTTTCAAGATTCTTTTGTTTTGTCATATATAAATAGGGGCATAATTTCTCGGGATGAAAATTTAATTTTGCCTCTTTATAAATCACTGGTAAGACTACACCTTGAATATGCTGTGCAATTTTGCGCACCTGTTCTAAAGAGGGATATCATGGCACTAGAAAAAGTGCAAAGACGAGCTACAAAAATGATAAAAGGAATGGAGCATTTTAGTTACGAAGAAAGGTTAAAGAATTGAAATCTCTTTAGTTTGGAAAAATGGCGCCTCAGAGGGGATATGATAACATTATACAAATATATTCGGGCCAGTACAAACCATTATCTGGAAATCTATTGATAAACAGGGCTATACATAGGACACGAGGTCACGCATTTAGGCTGAAAAAAAGGAGATTTCATCTAAGGCAAATAAAAGTTGTTTTTTACAGTAAGAGCAATAATGATGTGGAATTCTCTGACAGATGTTGAAACAGCAATTGGATAAATAATGGCAAAAAACGTAACATACAGGGATTTAATTTCTAATTAGTGGGGTACTTGATCCAAGGAGATATCTGACTGCTGTTTTGGGGTCAAGAAGGATTTTTTTCCCTAGTTTGTTGCAAAATTGAAAATGCTTCACACTGGGTTTTTTCTTTCTCTTGGATCAACAACAAAAATATACGTGAGGAAGACTGAACTTGATGGACGCAAGTCTCTTTTCAGCCATGCAACTAAACTAAATTTATTCTATTAAAGCTTACAACTGTTACAAAATAGAAAAAGAAGCAAACGTAAAAATAATGCATGAGTTTTTGCTGAAACAGTTTTATATTAGTGTGATTGTTTCTTTTCAAATGTTTTATTATGAAAAAGTAAACATTAAATTGCACTTCTGAGTATTTCCTACATATTGATGATTGACAATATTCTAGAAGGCAACCATCTGTGATGTTTGCTAATTTACTTTACACAGGGTGACCAGACTTCGTTAATTTGTCACAGTGTCCCGAGAAAGTTGCTCAGGACACATAAGTATCCCGGTTTTCATACTCACAGGGGCCTTGTGGCAGCCCAAACTTAATTAGAGAGCCATAGGCTCCTAACTTGCTGGCACAAAATGAATGCGGCAGACTGCAGACTCCTCCTGACGCTGAGCCACTGGCAATGGGCCAATTGAGTCTTGGATAGTGTCACGGCACAGTCTGAACCCTGCACACAGCAAGGCGTGACCGCCCCTTTAAGAGATCTGGCTGGGTTTGAACTCGCAGCTCCAGCTTCTCTCCCATGATATCTACCAGGGGGCTTCATTTTCTGTTTGCATTATTCTGCTTCCTGACCCCTTGCCTGGATTAAGCAGTGCTGATCCACCTGTAGCCCTTTTCCAATTAGGGTCAGCTGCATCTAATTAGCAGGCTTTAAAAGCCAGCCCTGCCTGAAACCTAGCATCTGGTCATTTTGCCTGTTTGGTGTTTCCTGCCGGATCTTTCCTTCTCTACTGACTGATTTCCTGGACTCTGCCTCATTTACCGACTTTGTTACTCCGTGCCAGCCCTGACTTCTGCTTCTCGTCTGACCCTGCCTTTGGATTTCCCCTTAATCTGTACTGTGCTTCTGGTTTTTGCCTCTTCCCTGTGCCATCTACTGCAACTGGGCTCCAACTCCTGGTGAACTGTTACAGATAGATCAAATTTCCAGCCAATTAGAGAGTACACTGCGCCTGAGATGTCATGCTGCAACACCACCCCTTCCTTCAGTCCCCGGTGCCGAGATAGAGCAGAGTGGAGCACTAAAGTAAAATAGCAGAAAGGGTCAGAGAGGACCAGAAGGGGTAGAAAGGAGCAAAAGATTAGAAGGGATAGAAGGGAACAGAAAGAGTAAAGAGCCAATGAATAAACAGTGTCAGAAGAAGAAGAAAAGGAGATTGGAGCAGGTAGGACAACGTGGAAGACAAGTTAAATGATGCCTACATTTCATCCTGGAAACTAAATCGTAAGGTTTGGGTACCTGGGTCTGGCAGGCAGACTTTGGACCCTCTCATCGCCACAGGTAAAAAATATATATTAATGTTAATGTACTCACTTCTATTAACTGAGTTTCAGTTAAAGTTAGAAACATTAAATGTATGGGTGTCAGTGGGGGCATGGCCAAGGCTGTTCTGAGAACCGTCGGGTGACTTACACTGGCTCTGTCACCTCAAACCTACCTTTCTTCTATTGTTTCCTCTTCTCTTTCAGAATATGCTCTTTATTTCTAATATATTTGTGACAAACTCCCCTTTTCAAGTGAGTTTGACACAAGCTCCTGGAGGAGCCTGCTTGCCAGCCTCCTTCCCACAGACTATGGGCCCTGCAGGGAAACCTGTAAAAGACTACCAAACTTGACCGACTGTTAGCACTGATTTCCCTGGAACTGTTTTGGGCATGGGGCAATGCTTGAGGTCGGTCAATACTTTGACTTTACTCCATTATCTCCTAAGCAGAGGGGAGTGATTGTGTGCTGTACATGGACGTGTCACAGACTGTATATTTGTTCTGATTGGTTTATGTCCTTTGTGTTCCTGTGCCCCATCAGGTCCAGGGGGTGTTCCTCTGGCCTGGACAATTATATAAAAGGCCAGTGTGTCCCATTAAACTTGAGATTCCTGCTTACACTCCAAAACTGTGTCTTCCAGTTATTGGAGGGAAAGAAGATTTGCTCCTGTGTCTGCTGTTCCAGCTTGCAGGAGATTCAATGGGGAAAGTCCTTGTAAGGACTAGAGCTAATTCCCCATTTGGTTCCAGAGTACCCAGTGCCTGGAGGTGTCAGAGCTAATTTCCCCTTCAACTCCAGGAGGGAGGTGGCGGTTCCAGGCCCCCAGTCAAACTACGGCAACTGAGGGCAAGAAGTGCTGTGGTTTGTCCCCTGTTCCAGCTAGAAAGAGGTCCTTTGGCGAGGTACCCAGTCGGGGTGCCAGGTGATCCGTTACAATATTTAGATTTTTAGGGACTTATTTGTATTACATATTTTTCCTACTCTTGACAGGGTGGAACCTAAGGTAACCTCTTTTTGTTAACTGAGAAAGGCAGTGGAGCTTTCCTTAAGCTCCACCCTTTGTCAAGATGGTCAAGTGTATCTAGCACCAAGACATTAGCAGCAGATCCTTTAAGTTCTGCAAGTTGTGAGGTGGGGCCTCCATGGATGGGATTTGTTGTTCCAGCACATCCCACAGATGTTCAATCGGATGGAGATCTGGGGAACTGGGAAGCCAAGGCAACAACATGAACTCTTTGTCATGTTCCTCAAACCATTGCTGAACATTTTTTGCAGTGTGGCAAGTTGCATTTTCCTGCTGAAAGAGGCAAACTCCATCAGGAAACAACATTGCTATGAAGGGGTATATGTAGTCTGCAACAATCTCTAGGTAGGTGGTATGTGTCAGTGTAATATCTATATAAATGCCAGGACCCATGGTCTCCCAGCATTACATTGCTAAAGCATAACACTTCCTTTGACAACCTGTCTTCTGGCAATAGTGCATCTTGCTGCAATCCCAGGGAAACGATGCACACACACCCATCCAACCACCTGATCTAAAAGAATATGTGATTCATCAGACCGGGTAACCTTTCATTGCTCCATGGTCCAGTTCTGATGCTCATGTCCCCATTAAGGCGCTTATGGTGGTGGATAGGGATCATCATGGGCACTGTGACTGGTCTGTGGCTATGCTGCCCCATACACAGTAAACTGCAATGCATTGTGTGCCTTTATATCATGGCCTGCTTTAGGTTTTTCAGCAATTTGAGCTACAGGAGCTCTTCAGTGTTATCGGATCAGACAGGCAAGCTTTTGCTCCCCATGTGCATTAATGTGCCCATGACCCTGACTCCAGTTCATTGGTTGTCCTTCCTTGCATTACTTTTGGAAATGCTCTGTCCCTATCATGTAGCCATCACTTTTTGACCTTTGTCAAAGTCCCTCAGATCTTTTTGTTTGCCTAATTTTCCTGCTCCCAACATTTGGATTTCAAGAACTGACTTTTCACTTGCTGCCTAATATATCCCGCCCCTTCACAGCCCCAATAATATCACCAATGCTATTTACGTCAGTCAGTGGTTTTGATGGGGGATTGTGTGTGTGTTTTGGGTTTTCCAAATGGGTCACCAAATCCACCCCAAAAATCCATAAAAGCTAAAAGTATATATTTATAGAAAATAGACAACCAAAGGTATTTACCTAGTGACATTTTGGCTCTTTACCATTTTTATCAATTTTTGTGTTTCTCACATCTTTTATCATACATTTAGTTTTTTTTAAATCCACAATAGCCAAACTGCTGACTTTCTAAATCTTCCCAGTGCAGCTATTTAGCGTTAACTTTGAAATTCATTGTTAATTCCCAACAATCCATACTTTAGTAAATAAACTTTTGAATATTATACTATATCAAAAGGTTATAGACCACATTTATAGTTTTACTTGGTAAGTTATTGAGATAAGTTTGAGACCTACCTATTTCAGAATATAGACTTGACATTTTGTCAGGTTGACATGTCACATTTGCTGCAAAATATCTGCACTAGCTGCTAATAATTTCCTTTGTGAACACAGTTTGTAAAAAAAAAAAATAAAAAAAAAATAATGACCTGAGCTGTTTTGTATTTTAAATCTTTTTACATGGCTCTCATAATCAGTTTCAAATATATTTTATTGAGGAAAAAGGATAAAGGAGTTATTCAGACAAAAACATAAGAAAGAAGCACATAACTGTGCAGAAGAGACATAATAAACAGATGAATAATATTCAAGCATGAAATAAATACTAGCACAGGTTAAAATTTATATTTCTTTTTGGTATTTGAAAGAGAGATGACCCTTTTACCAAGAAATACAGCATTAGGGTGGATTGGGAAACAGACCCCAAAAGACAGATTAAAGTTAAGGAGTAAAAGCAATGCTTGGTACAGAAGAGGGAAGGGGAGAAGAAGAAAAAAGGGAGTAGTGGAAACATTGATGCATAGTAAGGGAGGAGGTACCCCTGGGCGAAGAAAAAGCATGTGGGCCCCAGTACAATTACAGGGTGAAATAGCAAGGTAGGCCCTCTGAGGGCCATGTTTGTGAGCTGCAAACTTGTCTTGCAGAGAGGTTTTCCATATCATGTACATATCTTATTTTCACAACAAGAGGACATAGTCTTAAATTAGAGGGACAAAGGTTTAAAAATAATATCAGGAAGTATTACTTTACTGAGAGGGTAGTGGATGCATGGAATAGCCTTCCAGCTGAAGTGGTAGAGGTTAACACAGTAAAGGAGTTTAAGCATGCGTGGGATAGGCATAAGGCTATCCTAACTATAAGATAAGGCTAGGGACTAATGAAAGTATTTAGAAAATTGGGCAGACTAGATGGGCCGAATGGTTCTTATCTGCCGTCACATTCTATGTTTCTATGTTTCTATGTTTATTTTGCTCTTCAGCATCTTGAATGATGGAAAGGACATCCCCCATTTCATAGCTTTGTAGAGCTGTGTAGCCATACATATCTTTTTGCACAATCTGATTGCAGGGTAGGAGAGGTGAGTCGAGGGGAGGTTATATTTAGCACCATTAGAAGATGATTTTGCTGAAAGACCACATCCAGAAGATGGCTAAAAAGTTTAAAAGAATACTACAGGGTAAGGAACACAAACATGTATTCCTGTCCCTGTAGTGTTAAAACCACCATCTGGCTGCACTTGCCTCCCTAACAATAGTAAAATCTCACTTGTGTTCAAGTCTGCAGCTGCTATCTCTGCCCCGATCTGCTTGCTTGGCCGACATCATCAGAAGCGATGGTCTGAGCCAATCATAATGCTTGCCTATAGAATTGGCTGAGACTGTCAAGGAGGCAGATCAGGGGCAGAGCCAGCACAAGTACATCTAGGACAAGGTACCATATGCACCACCAATTCCCCCTAAAGGTGGTGCATATGGAGACCACATTTGAAGCCTGAAAAACATTTTCCCAGGCCTTATCTCTCAATCTAGGTCCTCCTCCCACAACATCAGTGGCCTGATTTTACCTGTCACATGGATTCTATGGATGACGCCTAGAGCATTGCATTGAGTAATGCTTTCCTATGGGCGGTCTGAATGCACGCGCGGCTCTTGCCTCACATGCGCATTCGGAGCTGAGAGGCGGATCGGGCCGAGAGATCCCCAGCACCAAGGGAGCCCGGTGCTGGAGAAAGGTAAGTGCTGAAGGGGGTTTTAACACTTTCAGCCCAGCGGGAGGGGGGCCACGAGGGTGGGGGGACCTAAGGACTATATAGTGCCAGGAAAACGAGTTTGTTTTCCTGGCACTATAGTGGTCCTTTAATGACAAACATTCAGATACACATACAGACATACAGACAAACAGACAAACAGATACCCATGCAAACCAAGAGATACACATACAGACACACACACAAATATACAGACACACTAATAGTGACAGACCCACATACACTCTCACTAACAAACACACACTCACAAACAGACGCATACACACTAGCTAACAGACACACATTTACTGACAAACATACACACTCACTTACAAAACATGCACTCTCACTGACAAACACACACTCACTAACAGACACCAAACACACTAACAGACACACACTCAGTAACAGACACACACACACAGTAACACACTCACTGACACTAGCAGACACAAATTCAATAGCAGACACACACACACACACTGACACACAAAAACTAACACACTCACTAGCAGACACACACTCAATAACAGACACACACTAACACACAACCAACACACTTAGTAACAGACACACATACAGTAACACACTCACTGACACTCACACACACTAACACTCACACACACTAACACGCATACACACTCAAATTTTTTATTTTTATTTTATTTAATCCCCCAGCCTCCCTACCTTTGGGAGTGCTGAGGGGATTCCAGCTTTCCATGGGGTCCAGTGGGGCTGCTGGTCACTGCAGGCGGCAAGGGAGCACTGATCCTCCTGTTCAGCTCCCTCTCGCTCTGCTTACTGATGCTGGAGCTGGAGTGACATCATATTCCTACTCCGGCTTCACTGCGGTGCGTGCGAGGGAGCTGGGCAGAGAGAGCTCAGGGGAGAATGCTCCCTTGCGCGCCCGTCCGCAAAGTGACGCCACTGGCAGCCTTCGGGGCCCCTGAGGTGGACAGCTCCTGGGCCCCCCAGGAGAAGAGGCTGGCAAAATGCGGCCGTGGCTGCACTGGCATACATACCTGGGTAGCAGGGCGGCCGGGCCCAGTCGCAGCTGCGACCCCTATGACCGCAGTATGTACGCCAGTGCCTACGGATTCTGCCTATGAAAGTACAGCAGATGTAGGAATTTTAAAATGTAATATCTGTTTTATTTAACATTTATTTGCACATTTCTTTTTAACACCATAATAGAGATGTGATTTCCAGACTGGAGGACACACAATTTTGGATTAAAAAAAAGACTGGGCACAGCACTAAATTTAACTATATAAATAGCAGGCTATTGAAATCAAACAGCAGAAATAAACTAGTTGCTGGTCTCTATCGAGAAACAGATCACCAAGGTGAAAATATTATGTAATTATTCATATTATATTATGTAATTGTCTCTATTATCATCAAAATTCAGACAAAAGGGAAATAATTTAGAAACTCTCAGATTATCCACATAAAACATGCATCTATTTGAAAAAAACATAATAGTAAAGGGTCACTGCCACATACCATTATTTATAATATTACATTTACTATATACTGTTTACTAATCCCTATCTTGAACAAATATTTATTTGTGAGGTGTGAAAAATAAAATTACATGTAGAAATCCACACCTCATTATCCTGCAAATGGATGCCTCCATTTTAGCTGCTGGTCAGTCATTGTTGAAAGCATACACATTAAACAATGATTTAACAAAATGTTTTTCTCTATAAAGTGGTCTGAAGTACTAAAAATGGGGCGATTGTCATGGAAACCAGTAGAACCAGCAGGCACATTCTATTCGAGATTTTTCCCCTTTTACATTTTTGCACCACTTTTTTAGAACAGAACACTTTAGTAAATCTCCCCCATAATCTTATCTTCATATGCGATGTATGCCCTAATTTTATCTTTTCTTTTTTTGTGTATTATGATGTAATTTTCTAAACTTTAAATTTAAAAGAAAACAGAATATCTAGTTAATTTTTTAAACAAAGTTTATGGATTATTTTCAATGTTTTATTCAGTAGTGTCAATTCAAGATAAGTGTCAGTTCTTTTTTAAATGATGGGAAATAAAATGTCTGTATCTTCAATACCTCTTTATATACTATTTTCTTTTTTAGAAGTCCCTGGGATTTATGATATGTGGCAGGGGTTGCTAAATCCACAGCAGTGAAATGATAAAAATGTAATGAGTCTTGTTTACCACTCTTTTTTGTAAATGCTGTTTAATTAATCATTCTCATTCCACAAAGTACCTCCTTGTTACATATCCTTGTGAAGTTTCCAAGTAACCAGTTACTTTATAAATAGGGATCCCTGTAATGCATTCACTATTCTGCATTTTTTTACTATATGTCCCTTTTGCCAGACATCTCTTCTCTGGAACAATTAATGGTCCTTGAATACATTTTTTTAGCTGCCGTGGAAGTGTGCGGACTTTCATTAACATCAGTGTAGCGGAGCTGCAATATTAAATCCCAATATCTCCGCTGGTAAAAGAAGGTAATCCAAGGAAAGCGCTGAAAATGAAGGCAATATCCCAAATCCCCCCCAGTAACCGGACGAAACACAATTCTGGGAGTCAACTGACGATTTTATTCACAAGCTCCAGTATTTATGTGGTTCCCCATGCAAGGGGTTTCCTTACTGACTTTACAGGGGTTGTACAGTACTGGACTACATGGGGGACTTAACATATAGAACATTTCTCCCACCATGCACTGCTGTATGAGAGGGATACTCCCACTAGAATATCCGGTTAAGTGGATTATCCCTCCGCACAGCAGAACTGGCTTTTTATATAAAAATCCATAACTTCTATTTTATTCATGCCACTGTACCGAATGACCATTCGGCAGATAGCTGGGGTCTAAGCGCATACTTCTCAGATCCCAGCCCAATCAGCCGAACGCCGCACGAAATATACTTTAACATACATTCCTCATAAAAGTCACGAATATATAAGTGGGAAAAAGTACCAAAAGACCGGCGCTCCCGAATGGCCTGGAAGTCCAGCGGTGTTCGTGCCATCGAGTAGCCGAGTTTAGTTCCAGGCACTCGACGACCAAACACCGCTGGGCAAAAAGGGAATCCAAGATGGCCGCCACCTCGTGGTCGGTAGCCGAACGACGGCCACCCGGGGAATCAATTAACAGCCGATAGATACATTGTTGCGATCGGTTAATGGGAGCCACACGACCCCCTGAAAATCACTGTTCGTGAAACTACCATATGCAACGTATACCCTTAATGGAAGCGAATTAGGGATAACAACACACGAAAAGGACTTGGGAATTGTTATAAACAACAGACTATGCAACAATGTGCAATGTCAATCAGCAGTGGCCAAGGCCAGTAAGGTATTGTCATGCATGAAAAAGGGCATTCATTCTCGGGACAAGAATATAATTTTGCCTCTTTATAAATCACTGGTAAGACCCCATATTGAATATGCTGTGCAATTTTGGGCACCTGTTCTAAAGAAGGATATTATGGCACTAGAAAAAGTGCAGAGGCGGGCTACAAAATTAATAAAAGGAATGGAACATATCGGCTATGAAGAAAGGTTAACAAATTTAAACCTATTTAGTTTAGAAAAACGTCGCCTGAGAGGGGATATGATAACATTACACAAATATATTCGGGGCCATTACAAACCATTGTGTGGAAATCTATTCACAAACCGGCCATGCGTTTAGACTGGAAGAAAGAAGATTTCATCTAAGGCAAAGGAAAGATTTTTTTACTGTAAGAACAATCAGGATGTGGAATTCTCTGCCTGAAGAAGTGGTTTTATCAGAGTCCATACAGATGTTCAAACGGCTACTAGATGCATACTTGCAAGAACAGAATATTCAAGGATATAATCTATCAATGTAGGGTAATAACTGCTTGATCCAAGGATAAATCTGACTGCAATTCTGGGGTCAAGAAGGAATTTATTTCCTAGCTTGTTGCAAAATTGTGCTTCAAACTGGTTTTTTTTGCCTTCTTTTGGATCAACAGCAAAAAACAAATGTGAGGTAGACTGAACTTGATGGACGCAAGTCTCTTTTCAGCTATCTAACTATGTAACTATGTAACATGCATGCTAGCGGCTTGTGTGCCACTAAGATAAAAAAAATTACCTCTTTGACATTTTAAACAAACACATCAAACCGCATATATAAACTAGTCTTTCTAGGGCAACCCTTAAAGTGAAGCAAAATAGTCTGAAGTGGCTAGGTTTGCCACAATCAGCAGTGGGGAAAGGAGGTGAATTCCGGTAACAAAGACAGTGCAGCCCCAGGTTTGATTTAAACTGACGTTGGTGCCATGACTGTGCAATAGCTACCAATTAGTTTGCTGTTGCCCACCCAAAGGCCTACACTACAAGCTAAGAAATGGCACATTTTTGGATCAACTTCTTTTATTAAATCCAAACATGTACAGATGGGCTTCTGATGTGTTAATCCCATGCTACATTTTCACAAGTTACCCATGAAATAAAAGCACCATTGAATAGCAGAAAATAAATGGCATTACCATGACATCACTGGAAGTTTATGAAATCTCAGTTTTACTCAGTAGCCCACTTCGAAATTATTACATGTCAAATACCGAACTCCTATTTGTAGCACTAGCTTTGCAGGCGAACAGAGGTTGGTTCAAGTTGCCATAGATGCATACAACCCTGTGTATGCCACCAACAGAAGCTTCCTGCCATAACCAACTTGTGTTTATGTATATGCTGAATTTCTTATATTGCATGATAAAGCTTAAAGCTTATATATGCACCTATGATGGGCTTGGCACACAGTTCATTCTAGATGTTCTAGTAATTACTCCTGGGATCATCAGTTGGGTGACTTTTCCAGTCTCATATATGGACTTTAACAGTTGAAGAATACTTGAGTCCAAAGGCATTTTGACTTAATGCACGCCTGCTCTGTGTCCATATTAATATTAATCCACCAGTGATGAATTGCCTGCAAACATTCACCAAATGAATTAAACGGTTAGGTTGGAAGCTTAGACGACATGAAGTCCAGTCTGTATAAGCATGATAAGTTTATCATCTGTTCCCCTGGTTTTCTGTCTTGGTGGGGGTTGTGCAGGGAGACTGTAGGATTACCATGAGTTGACTTTTCCTTACTAGGGCAGCTCTCAACTGATCTTTCATACCATCGATCTTTACTTCCAGCTCTTTAAGTTCCTTCTCTTTGTGCTCCCGAGCCTGCCCATTCTCACAGGGACCATCCTTGATGTTTGTATTCTCCAAGTTGAAGTGCACTCTCTTCTCCTGGCGTACAGGGGTCCTGCGCAAATTGTTCCAAATCGACTGAGGTTCAACTGGTTCATCTTTTTGCAGGTTACATCTGTCAAAGGTGCAGAAAGAAATCTTACTAATGAAATAAAATGAGTAAAAATAGGACAACAGTAGGACAATAAATGTAGGACAATAAATGTAAAACAATGGTGGGCAGTCACAGGCTTCCAGGGCTAGCACCAAGCCATTATTAAGTGATAACCCTACCAGCAGAAGTAGGCTATAAAAGAATACATGGGTGGTTAGCTAATTAGGTTTAACTGCAAAAATACGACATTCAGCTTTTCAAAGTACTATTTTTTGTTGATTTAAAAAGGAAACAAATATCATCAATAAGTTAACAAAAGAAAAAAAAAATATGATTCCAAAGGAAATCATATCTACCTATGAATCATTATCATCACTATTATGTACCTAGAACTGTCAAAATCAGCATTATTTGGTAGGGTATTTTGCAACTCCGGTCACCATGGCAACTGGCAACTTAATCATTTTAACTCTCAAGTTTGTCTTTCGCACCGATCTGCAGGTCCCCCAGGTGGCATCCGGCTTCTGAATCTCAGTTACAGGAGGCGTGGAGTGCCGCTGGGCAGGGGCCCCGCTGAGTAGTCAGCTGACGATTTGACGATTGAAGCCAAGCAGTAGCACGTCATTGATAAAGAAAATAGGTACAGCAGAGGCACTCAGGGTTACCTGTAACTGAGATTCAGAAGCTGGATGCCGCCTGGGGGACCTGCAGATCAACGCTGGAGGCAAACTCGATTTAATCCCCTAAGGTAAGAGTGTGTCCAGGAGCCTCCTGATAACTTAATTTAGATGACGTTGCTATAGTTACCAGAGTGTCACTTTAGTGTGTACTTGTCATGGTAAGACAAGTTATCCTCACTTTATGTACAAAGAGCACAAAAACATCAACATACATGGTGCTAGCAGATGTGAACATTTGTAGACATTTCCAGTTTAAGTTAAGCATCTTCAAACAGATGGGATTTTTCAATTTGTTGAACAGAAAAAACTGTAAAAATATGCTGTCTAAATGTGTTAAAGTTATATATAAGTTAAAACATGATAAACTTTCCAGAGCAATTGAAAAGTGGGAAAAAGATCTTCATACACAAATAGAGAAGGAAAGTTGGAAAAGTTCTTTCAATAAATTATATAAACGCGTCCATTGCTTAAATTTGACAGATTTGCAGCTTAAAGGATCACTTTAAAACATATACATATATTCCTGACCCTATACTGTTAAAACCATCATCTAGTCCCCCTGGGCCCCTCATGCCTCCATAAATATAGCAAAATCTTACTGTATTCAAGTCTGAAGCTGTAACTCTGCATGCTGTTTGCCTAAAAAAAAAAAAAAACAAGCTGTCTGCTGACATCATCAGAAGTGGTAGCCTGATCCAATCACAATGCTTCCCCATAGGATTGGCTGAGACTGACAAAGAGGCAGATCAGGGGCAGAGCCAGCATGATTCAAACACAGTCCTGGCCACTCGGCATCTCCTCATAGAGATGAATTGAATCAATGACTCTCTGAGGAAAGTTCAGTGTCTGCATGCAGAGGGAGGAGACACTGAATGTTTGGATGCATTTTAGGCAGCCATGACCCAGGAAGGATCTCTAACAGCCATCTGAGGAGTGGCCAGTGAAGTTATCACTAGGCTGTAATGTCAGGGCCGTCTTTAATTTAGATTGGACCCTGGGCAAGCATTTACTTGGGCCCCCTGACTACGTCTAGATACACACAAATACACTACCTGACACACATGCAGATACACACTGACCACATATAGATACACACAAGAACATACAGATACACACAGACTACATATAGATACACTGACACACACATAGACACACACACAGATACAAACACTGACATACATGCAGATACAAAGGTACACACACTGACTACTTATAGATACACAACTTGACACACATGCAGATATACAGATACAAACACTGACACATACAGATACACACACAAATACAAATGGACAACATACAGATACAGAGACACATTCTGACAGACGTACTGACACAGGCTGACACACAGAAAATCATACTGAAACACACATACACAAAGACATACTGAATCACACAGACATTGATGGACTCTCACACACACAGACATACAGATACACTGACAGACATACTGGCACATATACACACAGACAGACGGACATACTGAAACACACATACACACAGACATTGACAGACATATTGACAAACACAGACAGACTCACACATAGACATATTGACAGACATACACACATTCTGGCACACACACACAGACAGACTGAAACACACAGACACAGACACTGACAGATATACACACATACAGACATTTTGAAACTCACAGACAGCCATACTGAAACACACAGACACTGAGACTCACAGACACAGGCATACTGACACACTGACAGACATACTGGCACACAGACAGACATTCTGGCACACAGACAGACATTCTGGCACACAGACAGACATTCTGGCACACAGACAGACATTCTGGCACACAGACAGACAGACAGACATGCTGAAACACACATACACACAGACACTGACAGACAAACACACATCCAGACATTTTGACATACACAGACAGCCATACTGAAACACACATACACACTGAACCACAGACACTGACAGACTCACACACAGACATACTGACACACTGACAGACATACTGAACCACACACAGACATACTGAACCACACAGACACTGACAGACTCTCACACACACAGACATACAGATACACTGACAGACTTTGATAACCACCCTCCAGTTTCTTACCTTTTCCTGGAGGGTGGCTTCCCTGGGGTCCAGTGGGCTGGCTGGGGTGGCTAGGGGTTAAGCTCCCAGCCTGGCCCCCTCCGGAACAGCTGGTCCGCCTTCCTCCCGCGCGGCTCCTGTTTCTGTGGGAGGAAGTGACGCACGGCTGTCACTTCCTCCCAGCGCTGCCGAAAAGCAAGGGCCCGTCGCGCTGTTAAAGCGCCACAGCGCCCGACCGGGCCCCTGCTGACACAGGCCCACCGGCAGGGCCGGACTGGGGATACAAAGCAGCCCTGGAAAAAAATTTGTGCCAGCCCCATAAGTCACTGCGCCATATATTGTCGCGTGTAATATGTAAGGCTATGTCTTGCCAGGACAGATGATTGAGTAATATATATATATATATATATATATATATATATATATATATTGCTTTTTCTAATATAAAATATTGGGCCTTTCAGGGTTAAACGTTTAATTATACAGTAAGCATACGCACATGCAGACACAGGCAATTTCACTGACATTTCAGTGACACACACAAGCTCATTGATACACAGCCTCATAGACAAACAATCTTACTGATATACATCAGCTCATTGACATAAAAACACAAGCTCACTCACTAGCAGGCACACGCATGCAAGCAAGCTCACTCACTAGCAGACGCACACACAGCTTAATGTGGTGGTACTGGTGTCTATAGCATGTCGCTACAGGCTTTTCAGCGTAAACACTGACTTTTCAGAGAAAAGGCAGTGTTTACATTGCTTCAAAGTGACATTGCTAGTGACAGTCACTCA